CAAAAAGAGAACGTCTATCCATTCACAATTTCTTTGCCTGCATCTTCACAAAAGAGGGAATCGTATTTTGCAGTGTTCCAACAGCGGCTCTGGAGAGCAGTGGAGAGGTGTAAATCAGGCACAGCGAGCTGCCTGCAAAACTCGTGCAAGCAGGCAAGGAAGCAACGGCCAAAAAAAATCCCCCGCATCTGTTCAGACTCAAATACAGAATACGTTAAAGCATCAAAAAATGCAATAATGCAATAATTGCAGATAATTGCGGGAAATGCACAACAGAATTATTGATGAACTACATAGCAGAGCTATTTAAAATTGCTATCTATCTATCTATCTATCTATCTATCTTTCAAAAACATATTTTTTATTTATACAATATATTCTAAAATATTTGTTCCTTGGATCAGGGAAAACTACTCTGCAGGACATATGACTTTAGTCTACAACACAAAAACAACACACAACGTAGTATTCCTTACATTCGGATAGTAATAGGCATAACCAAAGAATGTAATCAAGTGTCAGGCTTGTGGCAAAAATCGAATACGACTAACAAATGTATGACTGGAAAAGCACCACCACAGTAGTGGAGAAGCAGAGGTAGATTTAGAGATCTTTTAAATAAACAGCCCGCTGCACCCTGCCACGCCAGCACTGCTCTTCTTGATCGCCTTCCAGTTAGAAACATTTCTTAAAGCCTTCCCAGCAGAGCCGACTCTGCCAAGAGCGGAGGTTCTTCTGAAAATGACCTACTATTGTGACTCCAAACCCTGGGGCAGAAGACAAAAACTCTCTCCCTGCCGGAGTGAAAGCAGCGGCTCTGCCAACATCTAAGCCCGTAACATACAGAAAATAAAAAATATAGATTTAAACATCTGCAAAGGTCAAAATAAAAAAAAATGTTTTCTTGTCAGGTAACATCATTCTGCCTCTGACTCGAACTATGAATTATACGATCTCTTCCAACACAAAGGTACTTGCGGTGCGGAATAAAATGTATTTTGTCTTTGCACGGCTGATTAATCTATTCCTGAGGTTTAAGCTGTTTTTTGTAAGGCTCATTTAAAAAACGGGACTCCAGAGGGTGATTCAGGCACTATACAACAAAAATAAACTTATTTTCTGCTGTAATACACTGGCATGGATGAGAGAGCGAAGCTGCGGGCTCAGGTGGAATTCAAACACATCTTCATAAAGTAAATATTTAGGGTTGCTCACCATTCTCCCCGCAGAGGAACCTGGGTGTGATATGAAACGCAGCCAACCTTCCACAGACATCTCCAGCCCTGGCCACATGAAGTCCTCTACTCATGCCAAGAGCTCGGGCCTTTATAACTGAGGCTACTCTTTGTGCCCGACTCCCCTCCTCTCCCCTCCCCTCCCCTAAAAATCTCCTCGATGTCCTCTAATGAATATCAGCCACTAGGATCAACACATGAAAGCTAATGCTCCACTTAAGATTCTGACCCTTTTTTCCAAAACGCTCCCTGACACAAATAAGCAGCCGAATGTTTGAAAAAGTTGCGATAAATGCAGGCCGGATTGCAAGCAAGGAAGAGCGGGTGATCAAAACGGCTTAATTAATCTGTTAAACGGGCACATTGGGAGCTGCCGCGCTGGGACGCGACCATGACTGTGCCACTCAGGGATGTCATAGACGAAAGTGGGGCATGCATTTCTGAGCTGAGCGAAAGAGCAAACACTCTCTCCTGACAAAAAAAAAAACCCTCGGGCAGGCAGGCACGCTCACACACACACACACACACTCGGACCGAGAGAGGACCGGTGGATTTACACTGCGGGGGTGTTCTGGGCTGTTTGAGAGCCCAGTCGCGGCACTTCAAACACAAAGTGCCCAACCATGGAGAGGGGTGGAGAACATTTCAGTGCTCATTACATCAGGACCTAGTTAGACTGGCTTGCCATGCACATGTAACTAGTAAAGATGAGCAAAACTTACATACTGATATGAATCGTGAAAATAAATAACAGACTATGCATTCATTTAGAGAACAAATCATTTATATATCCAAATCGTTTCAAGCTCAACTGAGAGAAAAGGCTCTCAGTTCTGGAATATTTTGCACGGAAATATTAAAACTAAAACGCTCTTGTAAAAAAAAGCCAATGCAGAGCAGGTCTCATTATCAGCACAATTTCAGATGTTATAGCATTTTGTCGGTCAGTGCAGTCGAGTTAGTGTGTCTCAGAAAGGCTTGACGTTTTTATCGGCCGTCCTCCCCTTTCCCGGGGGGAAACGGTTGCTCTAACGGTATGAATCGATGAGGAATGGGGGCAGGACAGCATGTTGCAAGCTCAGGGGAATAGAGGCTCTCAGATCTCCCACTGATACTCTACACTGTTGGCAAATATGCATATGCTTTAAACTGGGCCTGTCCAAACTAAATTAATTTGATCAGTGAATATCTGGATTACCAAACATAAAAAAAAGATAATAGGCCCAACACTATACGAGTATGGTACATTTACAAAGTCATTTTCAATAAAACAATTAGCAATTGCTTAATACACTGAAATAGTACTGAAGTAGTTGTGCATAGCTTGTCATCTTATATATATACACACATATACATATATATACATATACATACATACATATATACATATACATATATACATACATATACATATATATATATATACATACATATACATACATATATATATACATACATATACATACTATATATATATATATATATAAAGTGCAATACTGTGCACTAGAATCAGTGCACAGTATTGTCAGTTCTAGAATCAGAAAAGTAAAACAAACTAAAAATAAAAACCAAATGTCAACACACTCACTCAGACTACGGCCAGAACCTCTGTGCATGCTGCGCGCTCTCCCTCGAACGCTGCAGGCTGCTACATTAATTTATCCTATCAGCAACAACAGTGAGCCCAAAGAGGCAGTGGACATGCCGAGCAGTTACAGAGAAAACCAAAGGCCTCCACACTGCTGGCTCACAGTACAGCTTACACAACCCAGATCTGTAATGCAGCGGAGATTATTCCATTTCTAAATATTTATCGCAACCTGTAGATCAAATGTGACTTATAAATGTTCAGGTGGCGCACACTATTGTTTAATAAGTTTTAGGATTTCACATTTTTCAGCGAAGCATGATAGTTTACCTTTATAATTGACAAACTACATTTGGTAAAGTTACACAACTCCAAAAGTGGACTATGGTTACTTCATGTTTACACAGTATTTAATGAGTTTTCTAATCAAAAGACTGAAACAATTATAAGACTGAAGACCCTCTGAACAAAAGACTGAAACTGTTATAAAAAAACAAAAAACACAGTGAACACTGAAACATAGCTCCATCTAATTTATTTAATAATAAATTTAAGCGCTGGAGGGTGAGGCGTGTATTTGTACTTTTGCCTGTTTGAACACATTCACCAAGACCTGAAAAGTACAATACATATTTGTGGGACTTAAAAGCCCGAATCCTAAATGTTTTCCAGGCAGTTATTCAAATAAAGTTTGATTTGAACAACGAACTTCATTATACCACAAGATAAAACTGCCAGCAAAAAGTTTGACCTTTACAAAAATAGCTGTTATTTACATATTTTCTGTGTCAAATTGACAGGCACAATAGATTGTCATTATGTCTGTCAGTATGGGCGTTTTTCCGAATCAAGCATATGGAACAACTTTCTTACCGAGCAGAGAACAAAAACTTTTTCTCCTCACAAAATTCTTCTTTATTATCTACAATTGCTAACTTGCAACAATTTTTAAGTTGTAGTTTTATATTTTAATTATTATTATTATATTATTATGTACGTTTATAAGATAAAAAGTGGACATTGGTTAATCAGGGGAGTGCCCTTACTAAAACGATGTGAAATTTAAAACAAACCGAAGTAAAATGTACTTTTGCAGTAATTTTCTCATCAAAGCCAAGGTCAAAGCAATCATCAGCCATCTAAAATCCTAATGACTCATGTCAATATACAGCAAGGCAATTTGAGACAGTAAAGTGACCTTAAAAACCCTCTGTACCTGCCTCAATTCAGACTGCTGACAAAAATACTTTTAAAATACTATCACATTTACTTAAAGCCTAGGCACCATCACAGGGCATAAAATCCTAAAGCATTTTCTAACTGATTCAGCTATCACAATAAAAATGGGATTCAAATAAATTGATAAATTACAGGCCAAAGGCAAGATGTCTGGCAAGTCAATGTTATTATTTCCAGAATGCTTTTTATCTCTTTTGACAGGCTGTCTACAATTGAACAGACTAAAACATATTTCAGTAACCATATTTTTCCTATATCCTATCAATTGAAAACGTAAAAAGCGCACAAGAAAAGAGCTGAAATCACAGTAATAAAGTCCGGGTTGTATAGATAACATCCTAAATCTCCATTAAAGATTTATATATTTTGTAACCAATTAAACAGTCAAAGTTTTAACAGTCTTGACAGAATATAAACATTACTAATGCACTCGTGTGACGCTACGCATGAACTGAACTAGTCCTGGTATATATGTGCACATAGGCTAAACTTATACATTTTTAATCCACTCCAGATAAAAAAAAAAATACACAAAAGTGAAGTCTATAATATAAAATAATAAAAGTTGTACTTTATCTTAACTATGACCATGTAACTTTCTTCTCTATTTTATGATTAAAGCTGCACTTAAAACTGTTTATGCACTCAAATATCTACAGCACACAAACTCCATCTTAAATACAACGATAAACAGCGACTCAAATTACCTCGTCAAATTGATTTTCGACTTTGTGTTTACATTGTAAAAGGTAAATAATAGAAATCGTAACAATCCAATAAACTAATATTCACTTGAGGATACGGCTTGGTGTTGTATGAATGGATGTTAAATAGGCAAAGAGAAGCAGAGTTCTCAACCCGCCCTTTATGAACTGAAATCTCGTCGCGGATCAGGAGAGACACAAGTTCGTTCAGAAAGACACAAACAAGCACTTTACCTGAGTTAGACAGAGAGGAGAATACATCATGTTGAAAGGGGAGAGCGTGACTTGAAATGTGGCAAAACACCGACAAGTTAGAGGATCATTTTTCAACGTTAATCATGGTAAGCCTCATCATGATTAACACTTCCACCGCCGCCACTTCTGACTTCCACTTCGAGTCCGTTAAATCAAGAGACGCCCGGCAAAAGAGAACGCGCAAACTCTGTACACGTTTGAAACCACACTTTGCAGGCAGGAAAACGCGTGGGGTGCTGCAATCTGTTCCATTTAGGAAATGGTGGGAGAAAGAATCAAAGAAAGAGAAAATGAAAAAGAGGGAGGAATGAAATGACGTTATGAAAATAGCCCATCCCAAAGAAAGTAGCCTACTTGAAGGAGCAAGAGAGGCTAACTCTGGTTTCCTATGTCCAGGGGCATCCGTTAAGTCCGTGAAATTAACAAAAAAAGTTATTTGCCTCGGTTTCTGATGCTCATATGGTGCGAAACAAAGTGGCAAACGACTTTCTCCCCTGTTCGCCAGTGCGCACGCACCGCTCTTCCCTCTCGCGCTGCTACAGCCCGGACGCAGAGACGTTCTGCGCGCGGGTGAACCGCGCGCGTATTCCAAATAATTTGACTGCAACACGCACTGCTAAAGTAGCGATTAGAGCCAGCCTCGCGCGGACATTGCGTCACAGAGAGCGCACATGCACGCGTCCATTCATGACAAAGGCTTATCGCTTCATGTAAATTGAGTGGATAAAAAAAATCAGCCCGCGTAAAATACTAGAGCCAGTGCCTGATAAGGCTTATGCACCTTTACAACTGTACATATAGGAGATGTTTCAAGTAAACGAGGGAACTTAAATTACTGAAACGCTTTTTTTTTACTGAGGCTATTTTCTCTTCTATTGCATATTTTGCCGACCAGAAGCTTTTATAAAGTCACTGCAAGAAAATAACGCGCCTCGGTAACCATAATCACCAACTGACAGCGGGGTGGTGAGTGGTAGCTTCCCTAAAACTATTCTTGTGGATTTTTTTTTTTTTTACCTATAACCCCTTGTAGAAATCAAGTTTCACTGTTGGAGTGACCACACGGGAATCAAATAAACTAGGCGTCAATTGACTTAAATTAAAGTGTAAAACCAGGCAGGCTATTAAAACGAACAGTGTAAACAACACCTGTTATTTCTCTTGAATGTGCACTGAAGGCACTGTGGTGTGAACTATGGCCAGGGAGAGAACTCACTGCTGGCACACCGATGTCTCAAAATGTCATAATTTTGCCAATAATTAAAGAAACAGTCATATCCATAATTTCAAGTATTTATCCTTAATTTGTTCTGAAACGGCCACATATTAGCATAATATTAAAAAAAAGAGAGTAAGATTTCAATAAGTTGTAGCTACAATACGCATGAACATACAGTATCAATATAGCCCTAAACATAGAACAATTTTAAAAGTTTGAACTTGTTTTACGAATTTAACGTACAGAGACAAGAGGAGGGAATCAGGGAAAGTCTTCCTTAAAGTACCTAAACTGAAAATATCCCCGCAGAGAACAAATCTTAGTAGCCTATATAAGATTATCATAATTAGTTGTTAATATAAGTGCAAACTGTATGGCAACAACAGTGACTAAGATAGCTATTAAGCCCGTTGTTGAATGTCTTCCCGTAAAGGGCATACGATCCTTTTCTTACTCTTAGAAAGAAAAAAAAAAGTAATGTGGCAGTAACATAGTACTTTGTCAGATGTCATATCATGGTATTTTAATACATAACATAATGCTGAAATCCATGTAGCATCGTATTTACATAGCCTAGGCTACTCAAAATTAAATACAAGAATGCTCAAGAAAACATGGAAGTTGTAGTAGGCTACATAGTATCAAGCTTCCTTGGCTAAAAGGCTACTATTTCTGTAAACAGCCAAGCCGAGCCAAATCAATTTTTGGCACCGTCTCGTGAAGCCCGTTTACTTTGTTTTATTTATAGATTAAGTTTGCTACTGCTACGCGAAAGTGACAAGTAACTACAGTTCGTAGCACTTTTTGAAACAATGCCGAACTCCCGTTTGTGACTACAACACACGATCTGAGCCTTCTGCCGGGGAGGGAGCGCCTCTGTCGGTGTAGATGTTAAATTCATGCCGGCGAGCCTGCGGCCATTTTCTGCTGAGCAAACTCTACTGCTGGGCATCTGCGTCTACTGGCTTTAAACTTGAACTTGGCCTTCAGAGTCCCGTGGTTAACACACGCACGCACACACACACACACACCTTTTTTTCTTCGGCTGTCACAAAACTAATAACTTTCATTACGGGAGAAAAGCCAAATCGCTTGGTAGCTATCTTGATCATTGCGCGTCTCAATAGCGAGAATAATACGCCAGCATGTGTAAGCCTTTCCCACAAAACCGTACGTTTGGCCGAAAACCAACGAGAAAAGGAGTAACCGGCTGGTAAAGAGGAGGCAGGGAGGAAACCGAAACACGGCGCCTGTGTGTTGATGATGACATCAAATTTGACTTTAAGAGTGCACAACTCGTGATCTCCCTCGTCTTTTGGAGCAACGACACAAAAATTATGAAACGGATTTGTTAACGTACCATTTCGAAGCGAAACAGCCAACCTCCCCCCAAAAAAGTTACAGTTTAGAGGCTTTTGTAGTTCTGCTGTTCAACGCTTGGTCATCTCGTCGGTTGCTTTTATAACTCCGTATCCATTTATCTTCGCAAATAAGTAATCCGTGCTCTTCGGATGGGAGGAATAAACCCGGACACTGACCAAATACAAAACGTCCCACGCGAAGTCTTCGAGCCTCGTCCAATCCGAAAGGTACAGAAGGACACAATATTTTTACAGTAATGCGCGGCTTGCTGCAGAGAGTGCACTGGCTGGAGGTGCTGGCTGTTGTTTTGGTCGTGTATCTTTAATTTACAGTGCTGACTCGTCCGTCTCATAGCTTTGCAGCATTGCACATGAAGCGCGCATAGATGTCCTTGTGTACAGAGAGGAATCAATGCCTCGTCTGTTCTTTTGTTTCTTACAACACGAATAGCAACACAGACGGTGTTCTGAGCTCCATACACACATCTTACAGTCCTCGCGGAGAAGGAATTGATGAAATACGGGGGTGACGTGTGTGTGTGTGTGTGTGTGCACTGGAGCCACTCGTTTAGAAGAACTGCACTTGATGGCGTAGTTTATACAGTATGTATAGGCTACATTATATATGGGTCAGTGACGTAACCCTCATTTTGGTCCGGATCAATAAAGTTACTAATAAATATAGCCTATTAAAATGCAATTCATGCTAAATGGATTGAATGCATGCATCCATGCATATAGGCTATGACGATCATGTCGTTCATTTCTGTTCAGGTCAAATGGAGTAGCCTAATCCTAAAAATACTAATTGAGATACATGACCCAAAAAGAAATAAATAAAGAAAATTAAAATCTTGAAAAATGTTTAAAAACATTTTTTTTTTTAAATACATTTGAGTGTATTCAGTGTTCAAGTAAAGTAGCTATTTTAGTAGACTACGTTTGACTTGATGGTTAGCCCACTTTATTATTTTTTTCAAAAAGAAATTGGTATACAAATGTATGAAATCAACATAAGAACTTAGTACACTTGTCTTAAACTTAAAAAAAAAAAAAAATTATAACCCCAGAGATCCTTATTTGTCATTAACCCATATAGTGATTCAAGGCTAAGAATGTTAAACCGGTTTGACAAAACAAACATTACATGTTCCAATAACTTCAAAACCTGATTTGAGAGTAGTGCCAAACCTGTTTCCAAGATAAACAATAGGCCTATATCAATAAAATCTGTTTTGTGCGCGTGTGCGTCTGTTTTGTGTGGATATCACTTTGGGCATTAGCATCTAACTTTACAATAAGAAAAATCATTATTTAAAAATGATTTCACTTTGGGAATATGTTAAAGTGAACAAACGTCGTTACAGCCTTTGACATGAGATCGTGTTGCCAGTAGGCTATCGCTTGAATTTGCGTTTAATCTATTTTAAGTCATTAGTGCTCAGTCAATTGCAGTGTCCTTACGCGACACCTTACTCTCATTTTAAAGGGTCACAAGACGCCTTGGGCATTTCAGAACATAAATAAACTGACAGTCAAGTAGGCCCATAGGGAAACGAGCTGTATTTTATGGGCTAGGTAACTTACGATTTATGCATGTCTGCAAAAATCAGATTCTTTTGAAATGCCGTAACAAGGAATAACGTTTCAGAATGACTAATTTACATGAACTGTGCTTTTGCTGGCACAGAGGTTTATTGAACTTAGGGGTTTACGCCTCTGTGCTTTTTCATAAACGTACACAAAGTGTGGCCTACTTGTGCAGTGCTCAAAGAGTAAACTTTATTGAATAGTGTTTTTTTTTTAAGTTGTAGAAGCTGTCTTACTTTTCTTCTTCCTTGAAAAAGCTGCAAAAGCTCCCTGAACTCTACAGCCAAATATTTAACCTTAAGTTTCGAGTTCCTCATCAGACACTATTTGGTCAGAGCCAAGAATGATAATAGTTTATAGGCCTACTCTCAGTAGACTGGCGGTTGGTAACTCTTCAATTTAGGTGATCTGATTAAACATTGTAGTTTAAGACTTGCTTATTCTTTCCATCACATGTATATTTGCCGTCAACTGACAGCATTTTTTTGAGAAATACCTTAAGTGGAAATGTAATAAAATTGATATAAAATATTGTTTTTAAAATCGCATGGGTCAGTATAGTAAATAGCAATGATTAGCATATGTTTATCCTATTTAGAAGAACGAATATAAAGATTTTAATTAAAAAAGTAAACTATAGCCTATAAATGAAATTCGTTTATTTGTTATATTTTTAAAAGCGTTTTAAAAATGTTTTAGGGTTATTATTTGCCCTTATTAATTTGCCCGTTCCAAGCAAAATTTAAGACCATGAAGAATGAAGCTAAATTATAAATATTCTACATCTGCGCAAATTTTAAATCTCACAGACAAGTTGAGGTATTTTTTTAATACATCTGTATAAATATGAGATTACATACTTTTATCTTCAATAATTTTTAACACAAATGGAATAATAGTATGGTAGGCTATAATATGCTGTTCCCATAATTATTTTCCCTCAATAAATAAAATACACTTTATTTTACTTTATTCCTTAATTGAAATAACTTTTTGTCCGCGTGGTAAAACTCTCTATATAAATAAAACGCTAGAACTATATAAATAAATATAGATGCTACTTATGCGCTAACGTAAGCTCTGTTAAATGTTTTTTTTTACATGTTATTTTAAAGGACCTAAATAAGTTTTCCCCGTTTCCAACAAGACTTCTCCAAAATCCACGTCCTCGTGTATTTGTTGGCACCTTCAAATGCAGTCGCGTATTTTGGATCCTTTGGACTTGGGTCGCTTCATTTTCCAGGCAAACGCTCTTTTTGTTTCTCCCACAAAATAGCTTCTGAGTCAAAAAATACCGACTTCTGCTCCACACTCTAAAAACAAGCATATTTTGTGCTAAATATTTTCACAATATTTATAGGTCTTAAAATTACATTTTGGCGTATTTAAAATT